TGTCTACGAGACAGCCACTAGAGGGACTTCTGTGTGTTTTAAGTGACGCTGGAGCTCCTCATGCTATGTGGGAGGTCTAATGCACATGCGCGGCCATTGCAGCGCATGAATATTAGGTCTCCCCCTCCGACTGATGTCAGCGGGGGAGGAGAGTAGGTGGAGAGAAGGCGGAGCATGACCAGCACCAAGGGACATCGGCGCTGGACTCCGGTAAGTCACTGAAGGGGTTTCAACCCCTTCAGCAACTTGAGGTGCGGGTGGGAAGGAGAGGGGCACTACAGAGTCCTGCAGTGCCAGGAAAACTAGTATGTTTTCCTGGCACTGGAGAATCCCTTTAAAGGTTCAGTTCACACATCTGCACATAATTATATAAAAAAAAGCTTTAGAATTTTAATTTACATTGTGTCAGGTGAATTTCTTTCTCTCTTTCTTTCTCAAACTCTAGTTGTGCCATAGTGACAATACTTAATTACCTTTCCCAAGAGGATGTGCTTAGCCATCTAAGAGAAATGTACACTTCAGCCACATGTTAGGTATTTGACATCAAACAAGCACACAATAGAACTGACTTCAAATCTCATTAGTAGTACACCTACAAATACTATGGCATTTGCAACTGCTTTCAGTAGTCCACTACCTGTTGGAAAAGGAAGAGAAAAAAAGACAACACGCCCATAGAACCATCAATGACAATGAGGTATTAGCTCTATTTAATGGATATTGGGCAGAGGGGAAGATAGGCTGCATTTTCTGTATAATAAAATGGTTTGAGATTTCTAAAAGAAAAGAGAAACCTCTATTTAGGGTATAAATAATAGCACAGCTACAAAAAGACAACTCGACTGGAAAAAATAGAGGCTCCACTAACAGGTCTCTAATGATGCAAATTTGAGAGAAAAGTTATTAAATAAAAATTTAATAAAATATCCAGGAGTGGTCTGTAGCTTTAAACTAATAATGCTTCAAAAACTTGATAAAAGAAAAATGGAACATTAACATCCAATTGTAGCTTCTTCTGTAAAAGAAACTTGGATTAGTGAATTCCAATGTATAACAGTCTATGACTTGTAATTAAATTGGTAACTGTCTGTTGTTACTCTGTATGTGTAAGCTAATTCAGTTAACTCCAGTTATGGGTGAACTGGTATTTGAATACTGGATTAGTTCATTAATATAATACAATATGGACAGTTTATATGGTCCTTATAACTGAAATATTGTATCTATTGCCACACTGTTAGTGATAGCTAACAAACTGTATTTAGTGACTTACAGTTTAAATAACACTTTACTCCTAGTAATAGGAAATAAAGTTAAAAGTCCAAGTGCTAATGAAAATAATTTATTAATGAATAAAATAGTTAAAAAGAAAAATAAGAACGTTCCACTCACATTATGTCAAATACATACTGGATACTTTTGCAGGGGAATAAAATGAGCAGCTGAAGAAAAATAGATGTGTTGTCCGATCACCACTTGATGAATGGATCGGCAATGTTCTTAGCCGCGTGCGTGTCACCCGGTTTCCCTCCTGCGTTCCAGCTAGAAGTCGGCAGTATTTCGGTGAATGCCGAAAAGCAATGTGGTGTCGTTCTAGGTGTCGTCCTAACGCGTTTCGTGAGTCTTCTCTCACTTCATCAGAGGATGCTTGATAGGACCATCTCGCAGGTTTAAATAGCTAGCAAATTGGCTGGCTTAGATTAACTCTTAATAGTTCATAGCACTGGATTCTTTTATATAGATCATACATAATTACAAATAATTAACAGTAAAATTAAACATACAGATGATAAATTCACAATATATATTGGACCTATACATATTGTTAAAAAAATAAAACTGGATTCATTCAACAATAATAGATATAAAAATATTAACAAATATTACACATTATACAAATGTGAGTAAATGGTTAAAACGTAATAATTTTTAAAATATGTTTACTATCATTTTAATTATAGATCTCAAAATCAGATGTTCTGTTGTACATATATTGGTCAATTGATGTATTATAATAAGACTCATAATATGAAATACATAATAAAAATTTACATAATAAAAACTCAAAAAATGTAGCAAAAAGATGTCAATATAAACTCCACTCAAATGTGATATGTATCTAAAAGGAAAAAAAAACAAAAAAAAATAAAACCTTTATAAAAAAGCCCTTAATTCAAAATCCACATTTAGACCTTTAGGTTCTAACGAATCTAGCTGAAATATCCATTTAGCCTCTGCTTTGTCTAGTTCTTTCTCTAGATCTCCTCCTCTCCAGGGAATATTTACTTCTTTTTTTTAATGTAAATTTTTATTATGTATTTTATACTATGAGTCTTATTATAATACATCTATTGACCAATATATGTACAACAGAACATCTGATTTTGAGATCTATAATTAAAATGATAGTAAACATATTTTAAAAATTATTACGTTTTAACCATTTACTCTGATTTGCATAATGTGTAATATTTGTTAATATTTTTATATCTATTATTGTTGAATGAATCCATAGTTTTACTTTTTTAACAATATGTATAGGTCCAATATATATTGTGAATTTATCATCTGTATGTTTAATTTTACTGTTAATTATTTGTAATTATGTATGATCTATATAAAAGAATCCAGTGCTATGAACTATTAAGAGTTAATCTAAGCCAGCCAATTTGCTAGCTATTTAAACCTACGAGATGGTCCTATCAAGCATCCTCTGATGAAGTGAGAGAACACTCACGAAACGCGTTAGGACGACACCTAGAACGACACCACATTGCTTTTCGTCATTCACCGAAATACTGCCGACTTCTAGCTGGAACGCAGGAGGGAAACCGGGTGACACGCACGCGGCTAGAAACATTGCCGATCCATTCATCAAGCGGTGATCGGACAACACATCTATTTTTCTTCAGCTGCATATTTTATTCCCCTGCAAAAGTATCCAGTATGCATTTGACATAATGTGAGTGGATCGTTCTTATTTTTCTTTTAAACTATTTTATTCATTAATAAATTATTTTCATTAGCACTTGGACTTTTAACTTTATTTCCTATTACTAGGGGGTAAAGTGTTATTTAAACTGTAAGTCACTAAATACAGTTTGTTAGCTATCACTAACAGTGTGGCAATAGATACAATATTTCAGTTATAAGGACCATATAAACTGTTCATATTGTATTATATTAATGAACTAATCCAGTATTCAAATACCAGTTCACCCATAACTGGAGTTAACTGAATTAGCTTACACATACAGAGTAACAACAGCCAGTTACCAATATTACAAGTCATAGACTGTTATACATTGGAATTCACTAATCCAAGTTTCTTTTACAGAAGAAGCTACAATTGGATGTTAATGTTCCATTTTTCTTTTATCAAGTTTTTGAAGCATTATTAGTTTAAAGCTACAGACCACTCCTGGATATTTTATTAAATTTTTATTTAATAACTTTTCTCTCAAATTTGCATTTTCTGTATGGTTTTATTATATTTTAATAAATTGATTTGATTTTCATTATTTGTTTTTTGTTATTTTGTATACAATAAATCCTTTTACACCGACTGTTTTCTGAACCATATAATTGGTGGGAGGAGGTCAAGAAGGTAATAGCTCACTAGCCTTGATCGGGAAGGCACCACAAGGTGCCAAACTCTCATATTTCCTGTGAATGCATTCCTGGAGCGCAAAGTTAACTGTGTTTTACTATTCTGGAATGGCTGCCAAGGCTATGAATGTGATTTTCAGGAGCACATGGCGCTCATTGCCCTGATGAGATTATCCATACTAAATGACCTTCCCAGATAGTTTACTCAGTCACAACGCACATGAAAGAAGATCTGGCAATGTTTATTCGTCATATGATCTGTAGAATGTGCAGTTACAACAGGTAAAAGAATGATTCTTCCATACAGGTTAGGAGAGATACAACAAGTCACATGAAGGTACAGCATAAAAAAGCACTAATACAGGAAAGGGGGAGGGGAGTACCTGAAGCAGCATGCAAACTACGGAGTGGCACAAGAGGCAAACTTAAGATGAACATTAAAGAAACAGTATATTATAATAAAACGATATCATGTAACATGACACTCCCCGCCTGAAATCTTTAGATTTCAAAGCCTATTATATATATATATATATATATATATATATATATATATATATATATATATAAAGATAAGTCCAAATGTCTAAAAGTCCAACTTGAAGATGTAAGTAAAGAAAATATTGGAAAATAATGCTGGTGTGTAAACCATAAATACCAGATACCTGCAAAACAAAGAAGGTATGCAGTAAATGAACAACCAAACATGAAGTCCAATAACGGATAGCTAAAGTCCTGTAGTCTACAGTTTATAGCCGTGGAGCTTCAACAGTGGCATAGTTAACAGTTATAGTGGCATTCTCCCTGCCATAGCACCATACCGCCTGGTACTCTTGCATAAGTCATTCACTTGGGAGAAGAAGTACCAATTCTAAGGTAACTTCAGTGGAAATTGATTAGGGGTTTTCACAAAGAAATCTTGGAGGCGACAGCCACAAGCAGCCATGGAGAGCTGCTGAGGATATAGCTCTTGTCCCGTAATCAGCAGGATTAAGGTCAGTGGGAATATAATGCCATTGCTTTGGCAGAGAGACCCTTCTGATACGTTCTACTTGATTACTGACGTACACGTAAAAATGTTTAGTTTGGTTGTAAATGTAACCAAGCACTATCTTACTGTCTGTGTAAAATGTGAAGGAATCGATTTTAATGTCCATTTCACTCTTTATGACTTCAGCTATTTCCACTGCTAGCACGGCTGCACAAAGTTCAATTCTGGGTATGGTATGTGCAGGTTTTGGTGTAAGCTTTGCCTTGCCTAGAACAAAATTGCAATGTATGTCTCCATTAAACCCTAAGGTCTTCAAATAGGCCACTGCAGCTATAGGTTCAACTGATGCGTCTGAGAAAATATGGATTTCCCTTTGGTTAGTGGCTGAAATTGAGACTGGGGCATAGCAACATGGAATTTGGAGTTGTTCTAGTGGCTTCAGAGAACCTCTCCATTTCTCCCATCTTTGTTGTTTCTCAGTAGGTAACGGAGTGTTCCAATCTATGTCATCAGTAGTAAGCTGTCTCAAAACCATCTTACCTTGGGTGGTGACTGGGGCTATAAATCCCAGTGGGTCGTAGATGCTATTCACTATGGACAAGACTCCTCTCTTTTTAAAAGGTTTGTTACAGGTTGACACTTGAAAGGTGAATGTGTCTTCTTTGATGTTCCACAGAAGACCTAGACTTCTCTGCTTAGGAGGCGTGTCTGACCCAAGGTCAAGGTCTTTCACACTGGCAGCATAGTCCTCAGAGTAAAATGCATTCATTAGCTCTTGGCTTTTAGATATAATCTTGTGAAGTCTCAAGTTTGCTACGGATAGCATGTCCTTTGTTCTTCTTTAGCAGTAGGAAAGGATTTGAGCCCGTCGTCTACGTAAAAGTTCCTTTCGACGAATTGACGAGCGTCGGATCCATACTCAGCTTCTCCAAGCTGGGCTGTCTTTCTTAGTCCATAGATTGCTATAGCTGGGGAAGGGCTGTTCCCAACGACATGCACCCTCATTCGGTAATCAATTACCTCTTTGTTGATGTCGTTGTCTTTGTGCCATAGAAACCTGAGGTAGTTCCTGTTGTCTTCCTTGATGATGAAGCAGTGGAACATTTGTTGAATGTCAGCCATCACTGCTACAGGTTCTTGTCTAAAGCGAATTAGGACTCCAATCAGGCTGTTGTTCAAGTTGGGCCCTGTGAGGAGCATGTTGTTAAGTGAGATGCCTTCATATTGGGCGCTGGAGTCAAAGACAACTCTGATTTGGTCTTGCTTTCGTGGGTGATACACACCGAAGGAAGGGAGGTACCAGCATTCTTCTCCTTCTTTCAGTGGAGGTGCATGACCTCTATCAAAGACAATCTGGATAAAGTCCACAAAATGTCTTTCCATCTCTGGTTTCCTGCTTAAGGTACACTTTAAGGAGGAGAATCTTTTAATGGCTTGATGTAGATTGTTCGGTAGCTTCTCTCTCGGGAGGCGAAAGGGTAGGGGTGCTACCCAACTATTGAAATCTTCCTGAAATAACACGTTGTCCATTACTTTAAGGAATTCTTTGTCTTCTACTGAAGGAGCTAACATGTTGTCTTCACTGCTTGCATTGAAAACTGTAGAGCCAAACCTGTGATCATATGTGCGGGAAAGGTTTGTGTTGCCATGTTGCAACTTGCAGCTAGTTACCTTCTCCTTTATCCAGTAGTGATGTGGGAATGGCTCAAAGTGAGTATTATGACCATTCAGCAATACATTTGTCTTGAATGAAGAAATGTTAGTATTCCTTTTCATTTTGCCTATACAAACATTACCTATGATGACCCAGTTTAAGTCCAGGTACTGGGCAAATGGAGCATCTGGGGGTCTGCTGACCTGCCTGTGCACCTTGTGGACCCTTAGAATATCTCTTCCCAGCAGAAGAAGGATTTTAGCATCTTTGTCAAGTGGTGGGATTTCACTTGCTATTGACTTTAGGTGAGGATGGTAGAAGGCAACTTCTGGTGTTGGTATTTCTTCTTTGTTGGCTGGTATCTGGTTGCACTCTACTAGTGTAGGTAAGGGTAATTGTAAGTTATCTCCTATGGAGGACACAATAAGTCCATGGGCCCTTCTTCCAAAGACCTCTGTAGTGCCACTGCAAGTGCCTAAGGTGTAAGGGTGAACCTCTCCTCTTATGCAAAATAGATAGAACAGTTCGGATCGGGCAAGTGATCGATTGCTTTGATCATCTAAGATAGCATACGCCTTTAAAGTCTTTTCTGGTTGATCCTTGTGGTGGACATTCACTAGGCATATTTTAGCACAAGACTTGTCACAGTGGTCTTCCCCACAGACTTCAGTGCATGAGGAAAATATCATGGTGGAATTAGGCACCTGATCTGTACACTTCCCGCTGTGATTTGGCCTGGGAGAAAGGTATGCAGGTTGTGAAGGATTGGACTCAAGTGAATGGAGAGCTTGCACATGGTCATCGGAACCGCACTCTATGCACTTGATAGGGATTTTGCATTCCTTGGCGAAGTGATCAGTGGAAGCAAAGCATCTATAACATACCCCAAAGGTCTTTAGGAGTTTCTTTCGTTCTTGTAGGGGCTTCTTCCTAAAGCCGATACGTTTTTTGAGGTCATGTGGCTTCTTGTGGATAGGACATTATCGGTTTGGGTTTTCAATCTTGTCGCTCTTGTTTGAGGCGGGCGCTGAGGTGGGAGTGGGAATAATGTCTGTCTTCTTAACATACACGGGACCTCTACGGTTCCTGTAGCTGACATGTAGGTTGTCACCTTTAAGTGAGGGAGTACTGAACTCACCGAATGCAAAACTAGGATCGTTCTTGGTGTCAGCAATGTTCCTGACAAATTCGCAGAAGTAGGAGAACGGGGGAAAGGAAACCTTGTTTTCCCATTTGTATGATGACCCGATTTGGATCCACTTTTCTCGTAGGCCATACAGAAGCTTGTAAATGATAGGGTTAACTCCTCGAGCAGTGTCCAGGTAACTGAGGCTGGGTAGTTTAGGGTCGGTTTTGGCAAGCTGGACTTCGAGAAGAAGGTCACTGAGTCTCTGGAACTCTTTATTGTCCTTACTGGATATCGTTGGGAAATTTTCCAATCATTTGAGCAATGCATTCTCTATGGCTTCAAGACTACCATAACTCTGTTCTAGACATTCCCTGCAGCGGTGAGACCTGCAGTTGGATTGTTGATGTAGACCGACCTGAGGATCTTGACACGTTCTGTAGATTGTGGGCCAAGCCACCTGATCAGCAGATCCAGCTCCTCAGCAGCAGTAATACCAAGAACACCTATAGTAGTTTTGAAGGCAGCTTTCCAGCTTCTGTAATTTTCAGGATGGTCATTGAAGCTTACTAGGCCTAACTTGGTGAGCTCACGTCGAAGTATATACTTTACGAACTCTGCTGTGTCAGTTGCCTCTGACTTTACGTAGAAGGTTGCTGGTTGAATGTTGCGGGTTGCGTTGTTTATGGTATTGTTGTAAAAAGACGTGGGAAGATATGGTGCAGCAAGGGCATTCAGCTGAGTTGTTGGGTTAAAGTCTGGAACGGTACTGTTAGCAGGAGGTTGGTGACTTGCTTGCAGATTGGTGTGCCGTTCTGTGACATATGCAGAATCAGCGTGACAGTTGGGAGATGCACTGGGGTAATTTTGCATGTAGGAAGTTGCTGGAACAGCTTTTGCCTGGTGGTGTGGTGAAGTCCTTGAGTTGTCGTGAAGGGTGGAGGCAATTGAGTGTTCACTACTGTAGTTTAGAACATAGTTCGTTTGAAAGGATCCTCCATATCTGCCTTAACGCTGACCTTTTTTTAGTTTTGCCGCAGCTGCCTCGTAGTTGCTCTGTTCCTTTAAAGCTTCAATTGCTGCCCTTTGACGTGATGTCTGAGCTTCCATTGCTGCAGCCTCAGCCTCCATGTCTGCTCTCTTTTTAGCATATGCAGCCTGTACTTTGCTAGCCTCTGCTTCGGCACGGGCATTTATAAGCTGTTCACTAAGCGTTGAGTGCCTTGAACTTCTTGATCTAGAGGAACTTTTAGAATGTCTGGTGGATACGGATCTGTGAGATACGGTGTCCTGTGGCTGCGTTAATTTTGCTTCTGCCTTTGCTTTAGCTAGCAGGATTAAGCTTTCTCTTTCCACATTAAGAAGCTGGACATTTTTAAGTTGCTCTAATGATTCCTCAGTGTTAATGTTTTGCTGAATAGTTTTATATTTATTGCTTGTAGTCTGGTACAGTTCGTATGAAGCAGAGAGATGCTTTATGGCGCCCTCTAGTTGCAGTACCTTATGGCTGGGACATGAAATCACATCAACGTGGGTGAGGATTTGATCCCAAATCTGCTTCAAACTGGTTGATAGTTCAGTTCTCATGAGTTCATAGTTCTCTTTAACCTTCCAAGTGGGTTTCACAGAGCGTTTAGCCAATGCACTGGGCTCTGGGTCCTCATCCTGGCTTTCTCCATGTGGTGCATGCTGTGGTGTTTCATCACATACTGAGCCTTTCCACTCATGATGGGCTGAAGTACACAGGCTTGGTTGTAGCAGTGAAGAGTGTCTGTGTACTGTGTGGAGCTGTAACAAGCTATGCTGGGGTTGTATGCAGACTTCTCATACAATACACACCGTTACACTTCACTATGATCTGTTCTGTGATGCAGCAATCTCTGTACAAGCTGCTGGATACGTTCTTTTACTATTCTGGAACGACTGCAAAGGCTATGAATGTGATTTTCAGGAACACATGGCGCTCATTGCCCTGATGAGATTATCCATACCAAATCACCTTCCCAGATAGTTTACTCAGTCACAATTCACATAAAAGAAGATCTGGCGATGTTTATTCGTCATATGATCTGTAGAATGTGCAGTTACAACAGGTAAAAGAACGATTCTTACATACAGGTTAGGAGAGATACAATAAGTCACATGAATTTACAGCATAAAAAAGCACTAATACAGGAAAGGGGGGAGGGAGTGCCTGAAGCAGCATGCAAACTACGGAGTGGCACAAGAGGCAAACTTAAGATGAACATTAACCCCTTAAGCACACATGACGTGTGACATGTCATAATTCCCTTTTATTCCAGAAGTTTGGTCCTTAAGGGGTTAAAGAAACAGTACATTATAATAAAACAATATCATGTAACATGACATTTACTGTTAAGTTTTACTGTTTTTCACCGTGTGGTTTATTATTATCCATTTACAGTTGTTTAGCTGAATCCCAAATATTGTGTATATCTTGTTGTGGAACAGAAATGGTTTCCCTTCACTGGAAGAGTCTAGCTCGACCCCTGAAAAACAGGCCCATACCATTATGCCTCCTCCACCAAACTTTACAGTCGGCAAAATGCAATCATGCAGGTATTGTTCTCATGGCATTCGCGAAACCCAGACTTGCCAATCAGACTGCCAAGCAGTCAAGGATGGTTAGTCGCTATACAGAACATATTTCCACTGCTTCAGAGTCCAGTGGCAGGGTGCTTTACGCCACACAAACCGATGTTGGCATTGTACTTGATGATGGGAGGCTTGCATGCAGCTGCTCAGTAATGGAAACCCATTCCATGAAGCTCCTGACACACAGTTTTTCTGCTGAAATTAATGCCAGTGGAGGTTTGGAAGTCTTCAGCTATGGAATCAGCAGAGCACTTGGTGACCCTGCTATGTGACTTTACATGGTCTTCCGCTTCATGCCTTCATGGCTTCTGTTCCTAAACGCTTCCACTTTCCAATAATACCACTTACAGTTGACCGTGAAATATTTAGCAGGGATAACAATTCACAAGCTGACTTATTACAAAGGTGGCATCCTATCAAAGTACCACGCTTGAATTCAGTGAGCTCTTCAGAGCGACCCATTTTTTTCACAAAGGTTTGTAAATGCAGACTATATGGCTAGGTGTGCTTAACTTTATACACCTGTGGGAATGGATCTGATTGAAGCACCTGAACCAATAATTAAGAGGTGTGTCCCAATACTTTTGTCTATATGGTGTATTTTACCACAAATTTTTGTTATATTTTTACATATGTAAGTTGTCAGGTGTTAGGAATTTCCCTATAAAAAAATCTGTCCTGGAACTGTTTATAGGAATACACATTGAACTGAGTTTATTTACTGTTCACCAAGTAGGTTTCAGTGATTATTAAAATCAATATTTGCAGTGCCATGACAATAAAGCTCAGGATCAGTTGTTTCTAATGCTGTTCAAATATTGTGATCAGTTTTTAAGTACAGCAAGCAAGCAGCTAAAATAATGAGCAGTCAGCATTAGTGTTTTTAAATGGTGATCATAATTAAAGTGTTAAATTAATCCTTTCATGCCAAGGACTTTGGCAAATCCCTTTATACAGTCCTGCGGCGGGTAATTAATTCCTTCATCGATTAAAAAAAATATCTAAAACATATGAAATTTATGAAATTGGAATGGGTTTACTGTCATTTGTGTAAGTTGAATACAATGCAAATTGAAACCAACAGAAATGACAATACATTTTCTATTAACTGGTGCCAGGTTAGGCACAAAATGCATTAGGCAGTTCTTTTGATAGATTTAGGTTTGTGCTTTCCTATTTTTTGTGCCATGAACATTACATTTTTCTGCCCTCTTTTTTGCACTCTTTCATCACCGTCTATTGAGTATTTATTCTTCTTATGAACCCTAAATAAAATAATTACAATGCTTCTAAAATAAATACAAATATGATGTAATCAGTAGAAAGGCCATTTTAATATATAGCAAGAGAATGTTAAAGAGTAACTGTCACTTTCTAGGATCCTAAATAGTTTTTTAAATGTTTACTTACCCCTACATTTAACAAATATGTATCTGTAGGGTGTGAAAAATAAAATTAAATGTAGAAATCTACACCTCATATTCTTGCAACCAGGCGCCTCCATCTTGGCTCCCTGTTAGTGATTGTTATAAGTTATGTCCTTTGCACAAGAACATGGGATCCTCAATAGATAGAGCCACTTTCCTACAGACATCACTGGGGGTGGCTGGGGGATTGACACTTTTTGACTTCAGTAGCTCCACCCAATGTCAAGAAGTGTCAAGAGTGTGAAACATACATAGGACAAAGTAGTCCCTACTTTATCTTATGTTTTTTTGTTAGAAATAGATGAAAAAAGAGGAAAAGAAAGACAGAATAGAAAAGAGGAAGAGAGGAGAAAGCAATTGGAAAAAGATAAGTACAGTGTGATATTGTCACTTCAAGAAGATTAACAGCTTGAGATGGGTTAAAGTATAAGGTTTTTTTTTTGTTTAGCGTTAGAGCTGGCTATGTTCAGTATTGGGGTACATGAGGTGTTTAGTTTTTAAGAGGAGATAAACATAGGATTAAGGTAAAAGGTTTATTTTGAGGTCAAATATTATGTTATAT